TCTCTCTCTCTGTCTCTCTCTGTCTCTCTCTCTGTCTCTCTCTCTCTCTCTCTCTCTCTCTCTCTCTGTCTCTCTCTCTCCCTCTCTCTCTGCAGTTTGCCTGTAGCTCTTTGTAGGGGTAGCACCATGACATTTCCTTCTTTCACAGCAGCATTTCTGTGGGTGTTGTCCTTGTTCAGTTCCTGTTTAGGAAGACATAATATTGAGGTAGCGTTGATCTAGCTCCCCTTGCACTTCTAGAAGACATGGTGTCCTTTTCTGATCATCTTTTACAATCTCTCTGCCCTGCTTCCTCGGTTTCCAAGCCTTAGATGCAGGAGTTGTGATGTAGATAGAGCAGCCGGATCTAGGTAGCCCATGACCAGCTGTACTTGGACCAGTCATAGTGTTTTGCAGTGGTCTGTCTGCTACAAAGAGAAGCTTCTTTGACGAGATGTGAGAGCTACACTTGTTTGCGGGTATAAATATAAGTATGTAGAACACAGAAGTTGGATTAGTCAGTGGGTGTTAGGAGGTTCTTTAAGATCCATGTCCTCACAAGCCCTTAGAAGTTGAGTAGGTTTCCACAGCAGGCACAATTTCCCTCACGTTAAGTGTGCCATCTGACTGGACAGCGGTTGGTCACAGCTAAGATGTGAGTGTCACTAGTCATTGTCATTCATAGGCATGGAAACTTGGTCAGACTACTGACTGCCTCCCTTCCTCAGCAGCTTGCATGGCATCTTCTGGTGTTACAAAAGCTAGTCCTCGGGAAAGAGGCTTCCATGTCTGACCCAGTTTAAACCCTTCGTACTGTGTCTGAAGCACATGTTGTCTTTAGCAATAGAGGTTACCTTCGGCCTCAGAGAGACAGCCAAAGGCAATAGCAGTAGACTATATTGTTTAGAGAGTTTCTTGCACTTTTCTCATCGACAACTTGAAAGAAGGTTTTTCATGCCTGGTGCTGGAAGTTTTTCATCTGTGGCAAACTCCAAACTCTGCATCTCCCTGTCTGATGTCAAAACTCTCTCCACATCTCCAGCTCAGTTAAGCTTTGTTGACTGCAACACACTTTTTCTCTTGGACTGCTTGACTCCCTGTTAGCAGCAGATCTCCTGGGCAGATGTCCCATAGCTCTGGCATCTCTAACATCTCGGCATCTCCAGGGCAATGCAGGCTTCACCTTTGTGGCTTCATGCAATGGCTTCTATACTAGGTCTACATTCGGGGACACCTCCAACAAATGCCTGGCCTCAGCCAAGCTCTGACAAATGCCTGGCCTCGGTGGCTGTCCTTAGGCATGAAGGCAACTTCAATAACCCATTTTTTCTATCTTTAAATCTAAATCCAGAACCACGTGGCCAAGTTCCGCTGCTTACTGGGTCAGGTGAAGCACGATTAATAAAAGCTCAGGGTCAGAAATTGGGGTTCAACCTGAAGATCTGTAAAACAAAACAGCCAGCCACTGGCTTTTACCTCGACCTCAGCCCAAAATGGTGATCCTGCCTCCTAGAATCGCAGAAAGAGACTGTCTAAAAGCTGTCAAGCTCCATTTTATATTCCTCTCTAGGGCTGGGATCAAAAGTGTGCACCACTGGGATTAATGGCATGCACCACCCAATTTCTATGGCAACTAGGGTGGCTACTGGTATTAAAGGTGTGTGTCACCATAATCTGGTCTGTAAGGCTAACCAGTAAGACTGCCTTACTCTCAGATCTTCAGGCAGTCTTTATTAAAATACATTTG